GCATCACTTTTCTCTTCTTATCTCTACCTTCAGAATTTGAATCTCCAATTCAGTGCTGCCCTAAAAAGACTAGACTCAAAGAGTACAATTCCATGCCCTATGAATTATGTGCTGCACACCACGGTCAAGTATCTTGGTGTAATATTCTAAAGCAACATAATCAGTCAATGAAGAAGATAACAGCCGTTAGAGGTTCAGCAGTTTGGCAACTTTCAACTAATTCAAAATGAAACCATGTTTACGTAATATCTTTTGCAACTTGTGACTTCGGAATTTGGAAATCAAACACTTTTTCTTCTTCTTTTCTATCCTTCTATATATATTCTTTAGGACCTCTCAAGAAAGGTGGACTGAATCCTTAGGACCACAAGGAAGATTGTTGATATACACTCATTTATTAGGTGATCCCAAGTGCCATCCATAGATTTCAATTATTATTAGGCATAGTTGACAAGGCAGCCTAAATGTCATTTGTTAGTGAACATGTCCCGCGGCCAAATAGTTGGGTACAAGTAATATTAATTTTATTCATGTAAAATATATTTATTATTAATAAAAATTTTATTATTAATATTTATTAATATTTAATTAATAAATCTAGGGTAAATATAAAGTCTATAGAATAAAAATGTTTTTCAGAAGAAATTATACAATTATTATAATTATAAGATTCCTATTGTTAGCAGCAGACACTCTAATGGCAGTAACTATGATGTGAGTAGATGGAGTGATAAGGTGAATAAAAAATATGAGAGAAATTAGGATGAATACTCACACTCTACTGTCAGCAACATCTCCAAAATTAGTGGATAAAAGTTAGGAGAGAAAGAAGTTCAGAAGGCAACAAACTTTAGTCAATATAGTAGTCTAATTTGATAAGAAAACAACAGCTACAAGAGTGATTGATATGCAATCAAAATCTATCTCTAGGAAGCACACTAGAGCAGAATTCTTATGCCTAATGAAAAAGATCATCCACGAGGATAAGGATAAGCATTATCTTCCTTATTCTTGTAGATAAAGTAGAGATGTAATGTATACCTATATAAATACATAAGAAAAACTCGTTCAACAGAATAGAAAAAAAGAAAAAGGAATTACAGTGCTCATGTTAATAAAAACAAACAACACAATTGTTGTTGTTCTTCTCTCTTTCTCCAAAAAATCTTTGTAAATTCAATTTCTCTTCTCCTATTACATCAAAGCATTGTTATTAAATGTTCATGATCAATGTTCTATTAAGATTGTACATTAATTAGAGTTGTTGAGATTAATGCATATTACATTTTTTCCTTTATGAAATGAAGCAATTACTCTCATAAACTAAGGTAAGAGAGATATTTGAAAGTAATATGCAGGTGCTTGTCAGATGATATATATACTAAACTAACTCATAAGAAAATCTCAAATGGAAAGATCACTTATATTCATAGAAAGATTCTCGTGATAGTTATGTAAATGATCTTTAGATATGATATATATACTAAACTAACTCATAAGAGAATCTCAAATGGAAAGATCACCTATATTTATAGAAAGATTCTCGTGATAGTTGTGTAAATGATCTTTAGACTTAAGATCACTAAGTTATCTTATATAACAAGTGTTATATTTTGATTTTGACCATCTATTGTCCTAATCAAGGGTATAAACAGGCAGACATTAGATATAACATAAAATATATGAAAACATTTGAATAATTAAGAGAGGATTTGTCACCCTAAATGAAAAATATGTTCTATCTATTCTCAATTAGTATTGGTTGTGAAATCCTTAACTAAGGTGGAATGAATTTTGAAAATAATTTTAAAATCTTATTCTAATAATGAATGACTATAATGTTGAGAATTAATATGATTTAACAAAGTAAACATACCTCATGCTATGCTGTATAAATCAAAACATTTATGATGAAAGAATAATAATTACACTGAAAAACTGGTTATTAAAATATTAAGTCAAACCACTTATAACTTTTCTAATATTTAAAGGATCATGATAAGTTACTAGACGTTGTATTTGTTCTCCAAATATAAATTAATCATTTATTGAATTGATAATAAATTAAATTATTCAATTTATTCAATCTTATTTTATGATTTACATTTAAGTCAATTTATTAAGAAACTTAATGGGTTATATACATAAAAACCATTGGTTAGAAATTAAGATGAGATGATTAATCAAGTGTAACTTAATTATAGATAAATTTTAGAAATTGAGAAGTATAATATAATTAATACAGGGATTATAATTATAAACCTAAAAAATAAAGTAGGGACTTGATTAAATAAATTTATAAAATTATTCTAAAATAATATATGTAAAATTATTTAAGGGGACAAGTTGATATGTTACTATTTATAAAGTTTTTAGGTTTCCATGTAAATAAAATATTATGTCTTTTATTTTCATGAAAAAAGAGAAGGTAAGAAAAGTACACTACGTGAACACCTAAAACATAAAAGACTAGAACTAGTACTTTAAGATATAACCATTCTTCTTTTCTAATAGGTTTTAATAGATTTTTTATGAGTGTTTCATATGAATTACTGTTAGATGTCAAACACTTGATATCTTGTAATTTATGATAACATAGTTTTAAAATAAATATTCAAATCTTAATAAAATATTTAATTTTCATGTAATCTTCACTTAAATGTTAAATAATTCTAAATTTGTATAATATGATTCTTTTAACTTCCCTGTAAATTTTAGATTTACTGTTTCTGTCGTATATACATGTGTTTTTCGGGAAACCCAATGCCATAAATAACCACAAAAGCTCTACAATTCTTGTCCAATGACTTCGAGGACTGAGCAGTTGAAGCGATCACAAATTTAGCTTCATTTTAGCTCAAACACTAGAAAGTTTGGCCTAACGTAACTATACATCCATCAGAACATGATACGAAACTTCAGGTTTGAGCAACAAGAAGCATAGAACCAAGGCAGCCATCCCCTAAAAAGGAAGCAGATTTTATTTTTCTTGAATTCTCCAAGTCTGCCACCTCAAGAAGCCTTGCAAAAAGGTCCATCCCTCTGTAGCAAGTGGGCTTTTATACACTTTTTGCCTCATAATTAATTAAAGACTCCTTCGAGTCCAATATGTTGGTGTACAAAATTAGTGGAATGCCCATTCTGAGTTTCACTTTGCATCTTCAGGAAAAGATCCGAGGGATCTTCACATGCCGAATTCAAAGATTATTTCCAACGAAAAGATCTAATAAGGAATTGGGGATCATATCGAGCATATGGCAAAAAACGTGTAGCAGTCCACATCAATGAGGTGTAGCAACATGTCTTTAAAAAATGTTTATCTGTAATTCTTTATAATAAAGAACTTCGTTAATTATACGTTTTGTACGCCATATCGTGAACTCGAGACTCCAGAAGGTATGATTCCTTGCACACTGTATATTAGAGAAATAAGTCTTCAGCCTAATAATCGTCGCAAGAAAACGTTAAGTAGAAAAACTTGAGATTTCTTTCATATGAGACCTCAAGTTAAGAGAAATAAGAATTAAAAATATGGGAAATTTCACCTGATTTGAGAGTGAATTTAAAAATTGCTACTGTACAAAGAAATCAATATTGGGAAATTCTGGTAGGTACAGATGCACTGAAATTCATTTTGAAGTATTTTCTAGGACAAGAAATCCTGGTACATATAAATTGTGCAAATGTAGAATATGTGTTTAGATATTTGATATTGCGGTATAAAATATTTTTGAAAAATATTTTTTATTTAAAAATATATTAAAATATTATTTTTATTTTTATACTAACAAATCAAAATTATTAGGAAAGACTGAAAAAACATTACTTTTTTCAAACCAAATATATTTTTAAAACATACCTAAACACAGTAACCAAATATATTTTTAAAACATACCTAAATACAGTACCAAAAACAAAAACAACAACAAAAACAAACTTTATCTTAGTCAAACTATAGATTATACGTCTCTACTCCATCTGATTTTGACCAACAATCTTTCTGCTTGCCTAATTTCATAAAATTGATCAACTGAAGTTATGTAGAAGAAATCAAACAAGATAACGCATTTTTGAGTAATTTTTCCTCTTTTTGTTCAAATAAGAGATTCAAAGACGCAACTGAACAGAACCGGCTCTTTCTTTCAAGTTTCAAGAGCATAAATAAACAGTACATAACATGTTCTATATTTTCTACATAATTTATGCACCTATTTCTTTGCATTTTTGAGGTCAACACTCCCGATTCCGTCAACCCCAAACCATGCTAGCCGTGGTGCCTGTTCCACATGTGGGAAAAACAATTTCCCTGCCTGCTGCTAGCTCAACAAATGGGGGTAGTATAGTTTGTAGTGGAATCCGAGTTGGAATTGCCACGCACCATTGAAGCTCCATCACTAATGCAATGCGAAGTCCACCAAGATTTTTAAGAGAAACAAGAAAGAAAAAGAGGTCAATTTTAGTGCTTAGCGGTGCGCTAATAAACGTTTGTGCTGAGTAGATTGTTGACTAATTAACATGGAAGGCATGGCTACAATTTTTAAGTGACTAATTTATATAGCATTATTTTTGTTTTAAAACTAACCCTTGTCTGCATCTACATATTGTTTGTGTTTTTAGTGCTAACTCTTGTCTACAAATTATAGACAACAATTTAAGAATTTATGTTAGATAATCAATATTCTTTGGCTAATTAACATGTGTTAACTAGCTGACTTTTATTTTATTAAAAAAACTCTTTAATTATAATTTAGAAAGAACACATCCATGGCTTGCATATTTTTTTTCTTACTACCACCACCACCACCATTTTTAAATTTATTGTCAAAATTTTCTATTGAGCATGAATTTTTTAATGGACTCATGGATAACAATAAATTATTAAAAAAAAATTTTTTATTAATAATTTATAATCTATGGACTCATGGATAACAATAAATTATTAAATTTTTTTTTTATTAATAATTTATAATCTGTCGATAAGTTCATCAATAATAATTTTACTAATGGATTTACTAACAACAAAAACACATAGAAAAACATTTACCTGTCCCTCAGCATAATGCAACCCCATTTATCTAGTTAACTTCTAAAATTAAAAGGTTCTAAATCCATATATATACCCTGTTTTACAAATTTTAGGAAATTCAACTCAATTAAAGTAAATCCAATTTAACTATTTATATAACTATATAAACCGAATATCTATTGAGAAGCAAAGAGGTATGCCCAAATCATAATCTATCTGAACAAGAATGAGTTCACTTTTTTTATTTTTTTATCATAGAATGTGCATCCTTGATCATGAAAGAGGTGAGATTAGTATAATTGCTAGCTAAATTTGCACGCACACACACACGATCAGTTGTAATTTGACCCTGTTGGATAAAAATTTAGTTTACATTTTCACTAAAGAAAAAGAACAATTAGTTTTAATTATTATTGTATTTTAATCAATTTTTCAATTGTAAGTTTAATTGCTTTTAATTTATTCATGAATTTATTTTCTAAGATGTTATTTTATCATATATATTATTTAAATGGATAAAAATGCCCTGATATGTAAAAATCAAACCTAATCTAGTTTGTTTTTGAAAAAAAAATCTCACTTTGCTATAAGTGTGAAACTTGATCCATTGGTCGATTAATCATGTAATATTTAGTACTAATTTAATATTGAGCTCTCACCTGTTTTTTATTAAAAATTAATTTTTTTAAATTAATTTTTTTATTGTTATATTTTTTTATGTATTGATATCAAAAATAACATTTTAAAAATATAAAAATATTATTTTAATATATTTTTAAATAAAAAATATTTTAAAAAATAACATTTACCATTATCTGAAACAGCTCTTGAATAGATGTAGTCAAATCCGGTCTAGTAGAAAGTATAATTGTTTTTTATTAAAAGAATTTTTTTTTAATCTATGGGTGAAACTAGAGATTGAGATTTACTCAAAAATTCAAACTACTGGTTAAATTAGACGAGTTAGAATCCAAAACGGATCTAATAATTATATATTTATGTGCGCTTTATATAGCTTAATTAAATTATAATAAGTCAATTACTAATGAACAAAAAAAAGGCATTAGTTCTATCGATTTGGAAATTTATAAGACACCGTTGAAACTTCAAAGTTCGTTGTCTTTGATAATGGAAAAGTTCATAGATTGATTGGTCGTGTGATCTTTAATTTTGTTGCTGTGATAGAAAAAAACCTATAATTGCACGAAAAAGGCTAGTAAGTAAGATGATAATTCGTTTGTATTAATTCAGTAATCCACATAATAATACACCATAGATTCAATATAGAATGAAAATGTGGCGGTTATCTATTAAAATTAGATATCATTATTATAAAATTAAAAAATACTGATAAAATATTTTATCGATATTAATTTTTTTTTATTGGCAAAACATGTTGTCTGCAATAAACTCACAGGGTTTGTGTTGAATTCGAGCTCTTTTATCGCATTGGATGAGCGTTAATAAATAACTTCTATCGAAGATATCTCTTCAGGTGTCTCTACATGATCGGTAACTAAATTATCAGCATGTTCACAATCACTATTACTGAAGCTTGATGAAGTAGCAAACTCTTGTTGAAAATGGAACTTTTTCTCTTTTAAAAATGGCAGCTAAAAGGAAACAATTAACACAGTATTCCATAAAGTACTGAGTGTGCACAGAAAAGCTGTCATGAGCACTACATGAATCACAAGAAAACATAAATCAACTAAAAGCATTCAAAACAGGGATAACACCCACATGCAGTATATCCACACATGCAAAGCAACACAGAATATCTACCAACAACACTTCACAATCATGTTGCTAGCTAATTTTGAATTGTTGGCTTTTAATGTATTGGTTATCCATTGTATGGTGTTGTTCCACTTGCTCCTATAAGAGAAATCATCGGGCCCCAAATAGCATCCATCAACAAATCATGCCAATCTTTTAATGTATTAGGTATAATTGTTTTTGGTAAAATTCCAAACTCATCTACACATTTCTTCCTTTGACATGTTATGATAACTTCCAGAAAATTAAAATATACAAACTGAAATACTGGCGGAATGTTTCCGTTGATAAATTACAATGAATTTTATTGACAGAAATATTCTCTCAGTAAATACCGAGAAAATTACAATTAAAAAACATAATTAAAACAAATCCTAAAAGTATAATGACATGTTATTTATACCAACAAAATTACTGACGGTATTAATATCGTTGGTAAAATCTGTCTATAAACTTGTTAGTAAACTGTTAACTTCTCCCTGACACTATTTGTCGTTGGTAAAATTTTGCTGGTATTTTTTGAAGAATTATAGAATTGTTCACTTCTCAATTGCACTATTAATTACTATTCTTTACAGACAAAATTACTAACAGATTGAAAAGTCATCGATGTTATTTGGCGGGTTTCTGAAATTTTCAATTAAATTGAATATTTAAATTAAATATTACAAACAGAATCACCGACGAATTGAAAACTCATCAGTGATATTGGACGGTTTTTAAAAGTACTCGTTTTAATTGAAAATTTAAATTAAATATTGTAGGCAAAGTCCCCAATAAAATAGTTAAAAATATTAATATTTAATTATCTATCTGTGAAACTATCAGTAACATGCCATAATAAAAAGACTAGAATATCTTATTTCACAACAGACGAACCTCTTCTTCTTTCTCTTATGTAAAAAACATCAACATCATTTTCTTTCTTTTCTATTCTCTCCTCAACTCTTTCTTTTCTCCTCTACGTTCAGGTATGTTTTACATCAATGTCTCTTTCTTTCTTTCTTTTCTGTTCTCTCCTCAACTCCTTCTTTTCTCTTCCATATTCAGGTATGTCTTCTCCTCTCCTCAACTCCTTCTTTTCTCCTCCATATTCAGGTATGTCTTCTCCTCTTCTCCTCTTTTCTTTTCTTGTTTTTTTAATTAACATACTTTATGATTTTTTTCTCTTCTTAGCTTCACTCGCAACTATATAAAGGTAAGATTTTTATTTTTTTTATTTTTTTTGTGTTCTTTTTTCATTATATTTTTCATTTTAATTTATTTTTAAATTTTTATGTTCTTAATAATTGTATGAATGTTGTTGAAAGATTTTTTTTTATAAGAGATCAATTTTTAGTTGTTTTATTTATATGATTTTTAAATAGATTTTAATTATTTAATTATTTTCTAGTTTTGTTAAATAGATTTCTTAAAAATATTTTTAAATAATCACTGACAGAATTACATTGGTATTTTTTCCAGTTATATGACAAGTTTCTTGAGGAAAATACTAACAGAATGAAGCGAGTAGTTTTTTTACCATATTTTTTATATTAGTAAACCCATTAGTAATAATATTTTTATTATTACTGATAGACTTACCAATAGACAAAAAATTATCAATAAGAACTCATCGATGAGAGCATTTCCATTTGTGATCCTGTTGGAAAAATAATTGCTAACGGAATGATAGTACAAATATAATGAAAAATTTCATCGATAAAAATAAAAATTCTGGTAGTAGATTGATTTTAGCATCATCCATGAAATTTCCATTATTTATTGTATTGGTATATTTGATATGTTATTAATGCCAATAAAATTTTTAATATTTTTTTGTTATGTTGATTCCATTATAAATAAGAACTTTAATTCCTGATAGATTATTATGTAGAAATAGGAAAATATTTTGTATCTTTTCGACAAAAATGAGTGTTTTTTTGTTGCAAAACGCCAATTTTCTATTAATGTATTGAGTTTGAAATTAAATCAGCAGAGTTGTAGATTTTGGATGGCTATGAGTAATTAACCTAGAGGTCGCACTGTTTCAGCTCCAAAATTAAAAAGAAGAAAAAATTAATGTCTCCGTTTTCGACTAATTAATGCCAGACCAAGTACTCATCATCATAACATGGTAATATGGAGATGCATGCAATATGGAGATGCATTCCAGTGGTGGAAGGAGTTTTTCTTTTTTTACTTTTTTTACTGTATCTGGGTTTGAGTCCTAGTGTGCATGCCTGTTATCTCCGTAGTGCTTTACATGTCTATTGGATTTGCAGGGTATTCAGTGGGCCGTGAGGAATAGTCGTGGTATGTAATGTCTCCGTTTTCGACTAATTAATGCCAGACCGAGTACTCATCATCGCAACATGGTAATGGAGATAGTGGAGGACCTGATTGGTTTGACGCCTGAATATTTACGGTACGTATGCTTTTGTTAATTATTACTGTTTTTTTTATTTTTTCCCCCTTTCAAACTTGATCTTCGATGCTTTTGTTAATTATTACTGTTTTTTTTTTCCCCTTTCAAACTTGATCTTCATTTCATTTACGCTTCTTCAAATCCATGCTTTTCAAATCCATGTTTTGGAAAGAGAGGATATACGGGCAGGAAAAGCCTCCATAGTGGTCGGTTTTCCTTTGTTCCAGTCGCAAATCTCCAGGACGCATGATACCTAGTTATCAAATTAATCAAGAAATAGGATCATATAGAACAAACATATTCACTACGAAGTATTTTATTTCTGTTGGATCATTTGCAATGGAATTTCACAAATGTTTATCCACCCAATTTCCTAGAGAAATTTATCCAGCCATCATCCATGTAAAAAGATATCAGAGAATGGATGCGGATCTTTTCGTTTCTGAGAAAGGAGATTTTCTCCTGAGAATTTAATATACTAGCAACCCCATTTCAATGCATGGATGACAAGTGTTGGAGAGAAAATCAACAACTAGATGGATTGATAACAGCCCCATTATTAGGGAGCAGAGCACCAAGGCTGATGCCACCTGAAAGCTGAAACCCACATGCCATTAATTTAGCTCACATAGATTCGAAGATTTATTTAATAGTTAGCTAAAGTTCTTATCTTCTTTTGATTAACACATGATTGATCATAGCCAAGCCAACACTTTGCAAAGTTCAATGTAAGGAGTCAGCAAAAAGTCTTGGCAGTCCAATAATTTCATTTGAGACCCAAGGAAGCTTCTCCAAGATGGGTTAGGTGACAAAATCACAATAAATCCCACTAATAGCCCATTTCTTTTGTATCCTTAATTAATTAGGCTAATATTGTTACTAATTAATCCCTTGTCGGATGGTTTATTGTATAATTAGTAATTAAACCACAAGTTCATTTATGAGGTTGCAAGTGATCTTATTATTGTGGCTTGAATATCTCTTACAGTTTGTGAGATTAAAGAGAGCACTGTTCCCTCTGCATGTGCTCTCTGCTCTTCCTGTAATTTTTCCTCACATATTCTCTCTCACCTTCCCCCTCGTCGTACAGCTCTTGTCCATATATATATATCCTCTCTCTTTCACTCTCAAAAGTCTAGTTTCATATATACGAAAAGAAAAGTTACAAACAAGCTGTTGATTTTCTTTCATGTCTCCAGCACAAAGACCAAACATGCCTGAACCACCTCCTTCCCCATCTTCCTCTTCTATCTTTGCACTTTCTTACTTGAAACTTCAATTCTTTGCTCGTGTCAGGCGGTTCTTGCAAACTAAAAGGGCACAAAAGAGCATTAAAACAAGAACCAAAGCTATGGTCAACAAAGAAGAACAAGCAACAATTACCACTGTGGATAGGCAAAGTAGTGATGTTGATGATGATTCTGTGGTGTTACAAAGATCAGTAAAGAAACTTCACTTTGGAAGCTGGGAAGAGAAGGAGGTGGCAGCTCTTGAGATTGAAAAATTAGCTAGGGAAGATGCTAAGATGAGAAATTTGATGGCTGAGCTTGGTGTTATTCTTGCCTTGGTGGGGATGGTGGCTTCAGAAGTAGCTGGCCGCCAGAGAATGGCTATTAATGCTTTGATTGAGCTTGCTAATGGAAATTACAAGTAAGTTTCTTCTTTTCTAATTTGATATCATTATTTTTAATTAATTTTTTTTTTCATTTTTATTACCAAAAAAAATTCAGATTATGAAATTCAATTGTAGTCCAGAATCACTCCTCATAGGACATTTAATTGAGCTGTTTAGAATATTTTCATATTTGTTTAGGAGACAAACTAGAATCGTTTTATGAAACTCTATAACTTGTTATGAAAAAAAAAAAAATTAAATGCAAAAAACAAGGTCTTTGGTAGGCATTGAATAACTTGCCTAAAACCTAACATAATCTTGGGTGCTGATTACACCATACTGTAGAATTCGCATCGATAGGTCAATCTCCACTAACACTTCAGATAACAAGAGAATGACGTTAGCTCCTCTTACTTTAATTAGTCAAATATTTCATTCTTATTATCAACAAATGAAGAAAAAAAAATATTATCATAGTACAATAAGCACCCGAGTTGTGTGGCTGACCATCCATGTGAATTTGAAGAAGAAAACAAAGATTAATTACATCAAACAGCTTATGTAATTGGATGTTTTTTCAACAGTTTGAAAAACGGAGTTTGGTTGTTGGCACCATCTAGATTTTTTGGGGTATGAATTATTTCATCATTTGAGCTTGGGGTGAGGCGAGAAATACCCATATATGGTTGATTTATATCCTAAAGAATTGAAATTCGGCCGCTGGGGAAGGAATAAAGGAAAACTGAGTAATCAGAGGGAGGGACCCTCGTTGTTAAAGAAAGCAACCTACGTCGAGGCTGTGGAGGCGTAGCGTGGTTTTCAGCGCCGCCCTTCATAAAATAGATAGGATCCAAGCTTTTAGGTTCGGTTTCTTGATTTTCCCTTTAATGGTAGTCTATAATTGCTCTTGGTGCCTCATCAAGCTTTCAATTCTTGACGAGAAAAAACAGAAAAAGAAAGAGGATTTGCCTTTGATTTACCCTTGGCTGAGGCAGCATCCAATTTTGGGGATTTCATGATGGTTCTTGACCTGATTTTTTAGGCGTGGTCCCTTCCATTTTTTTGTCCAGGTTAATTATTGTTAATATTTCTTCATAATAATTTAGAAGAAGAAAGTATCAATTCAATTTGAATGTATTTAAAATACTATTATTGTACGGATTGTGATTAACAATTCTATTATTCTCATTCATTATATAATGTTTTAGTATTTTTAAAGTAATTGTTAATATTTCTTCATAATAATTTAGATGATAATTATGATGAAGAAAATATCAAATGAATTTAAAATATTATTATTGTACGGATTGTCATTAACAATTCTATTATTCTCATTCATTAAATAATGTTTTAGTATTTTTAAAGTTTGTTTTAATTTTAAGTCAAGTTTCAAATATTTAATTACCTAGATTTGATTATGAGTTATTTCTTTTTGTATAAACTCATTTCTCAGTCTTGTTATACCCTTTAACAAATTTCAAAATCAAAATATTTGTTAATTGATTGATTTAAAGACACCCATTTACATGTTAATGATCATGTTCCTGAAATCAACATCATAAGAAAATAATTAAATTTTTTTTAGTAGATATGAAAATAATTAATTTGGATGAAGTAGGAGGCCACAAGCACAAAGGGCGCTTATTACACGCCCTAGTAGGAAGCATAGACAGAACAATGATGTTATTGAATCGACAATGTTGTCTTTGAATAGAAATAAGTTACTGGACATAAGAATTGGTGCAAATGATCAGATTCCCTATGATCCATAAAGCAATAAACAAATTCATCAGTTGACTTCCATCTTCCATCTCAGATCTAAATCAAGAATCTCTTTGACTTTCTTAGAAAAAAGACAGTAACTTGTTTAATACTTGTTGATTGGTTAGTTTGGCGTGCATGATGCTCGTTATTTGTTGGGGAGACATTAAAAAATGGCCACCGTGTTACTATCCCTGATGTGTACTCTTTGGCTCAGTAACTGCAACTAGATTAGTGTGCTGTTCTTGTTTTAATTAATGTATTTTTATTTTCTTTCTTCAGGAACAAGGCTCTCATGGTAGAAGCAGGGATCTTTTCGAAACTACCAAAGAGCATGGATGCTTTAGAAGAACCAACAAGACAAAAATTTGCAGAATTAATCCTGTCATTGTCTTCGCTGGCGAATCATACCCAATTCCCTCTTGCTTCATCAGAAGTTTTGCCATTTCTAATTGGAATTCTTGAGTCTTGCTCAAGTTACGAAACCAAGGAGTCGTGTTTGAGTACTCTATACAACCTGTCTGCTGTGTTAGATAATGCAGGGCCTTTGCTCTCTAATGGGGCAGTTCAAACTCTCCTGAGGGTAATATCAGAAAAAGAATTCTCAGAGAAAGCTCTAGCGACACTAGGCCATTTAGTGGTGACTTTAATGGGGAAGAAAGCAATGGAAAACAGTTCACTTGTGCCAGAGAGCTTGATAGAGATAATGACATGGGAGGATAAGCCAAAATGTCAAGAATTATCGGCTTATATTTTGATGATTTTAGCTCATCAAAGCTCAGCTCTGCGTGATAAAATGCTTAAATCTGGCATTGTTCCTGTACTCCTTGAAGTGGCATTATTGGGGAGTCCTCTAGCTCAGAAGAGAGCACTAAAACTACTGCAGTGGTTCAAAGATGAGAGGCAAACAAGGATGGGGCCACATTCTGGGCCTCAAACAGCAAGGATAGCAATAGGGTCACCGGTAAATAACAGGGAAGCTCAAGAGGGAAAGAAACTGATGAAGGATTTGGTGAAGCAAAGTTTGCACAAGAACATGGAGTTGATAACCCGGCGAGCCAATGCTACTTCAGGGGACTCTTCTAAGTTCAAGTCCCTAGTTATCAGTACAAGTTCTAAAAGCTTGCCTTGCTAAAGATTTTACAGGCCCTTCAGCAATCTTTGGGCATCTTTCGTGCCGGGAGCAGCAGAGAAATTCCTCGATGCCTGCTCATTAAGTTAGGAATCCAATTCTTTAGCCTAGGCCATGTGATGTTGGCTGATTAAAAATAGAAATGCTCGAGTGCAGATAATAGCTTATGTTAATTGTACATGGTGACCTTAAAAAGAAAAGAAAATAGAAATTGAAGTCTCCAGATGGGGTGTAACTCCCATTTTTTCCCACATTATCAATTTTAATTGTGCATTAATTCTTGCACAGACCATTTTAATTAAATTTATCTAGTATAAGTTTAACTAGTCACATTTTATATCTTTTTTAATGAAGTTTTTGGAGTTACCGAATATTTATATAATTATTAATTTCAAGTTTTATAGAATTAATTGAGGTATAGAAACTATCTAAATATTAATATTAAAAAAAAAGGGAGCAAATTTAAAGCAGCTGAAGTCTTCAACAGGTCTCTCCACAAGGGAAACAACCCTGGCGAAGCAAAACTGATTCAAATGAGAGCATGCTGAAATAGCTAAGTTCAAGCTTCTCACGTCAGCCCAGCCCAATTAGAACTCATTCAGGATCACCAAGCCCAAATTTAAGTCAAAATATCATGGCGGTGAAAATGAAACCCTAACAGGTTCCCTGGACCCAACAAAGATAAATACCCAAACACTGGTCCAGCAAATTCAGTTAGCCACAAAAACAAGACCAGTTTCATTCTCTATCCTGCGTAACTCCCTCATCTCTAGGGTTTATTCCACGCTAACCAGCAATCCACCACCACCACTTCCGCCACCATGGAGTTCATTAAAAAACGCAAAGCCGACGAAAACGGCATCTCAATCCCCACTGGCACCTCTCCACCATCTCCAATAACTCCTCTAACGCCCGAAGAAATCCGTAAAATCCTCGAACCCTTCACAAAAGACCAACTATTAGACATCCTCCAATCGGCCACACTCCACCACTCTGACATCCTTAACTCTGTCCGTTCCGTAGCGGATGGCGACATCTCCCTCCGAAAGCTCTTCATTCGCGGCCTCTCTTCCGAAACAACCTCGGATACCCTCCGAATTCTATTTTCTTCCTTCGGAGAACTCGAAGAAGCTATTGTTATCCATGACAAGAACACAGGTAAGTCGAAAGGTTTCGGGTTTATTACTTTCAAACATGTGGACTCTGCTATGCTTTCTATTAGAGAACCTAGTAAAAAAATTGATGGAAGGATTACTGTTACTCAATTAGCATCGAATAATTCGAGTACCGGTGATGTTTCGCTAAGGAAAGTTTATGTTGGGAACGTGCCTTTTGAGATTACCTCGGAGAGGTTGTTAGGGTTTTTCTCAATGTATGGTGAGATTGAAGAAGGCCCGCTTGGATTTGATAAATCTACTGGGAAATCAAAAGGTTTTGCCTTTCTTATATACAAGTCTGAGGATGGGGCAAAGGCTGCGATTGCTGATCCTATGAAAAATATTGATGGGCATCAAGTTGTTTGTAAATTAGCTGTTGATAACAAGAGGGTTAATAAGACTAGTCAGGGCGGTCCAAATGCACAAAATTCACAGCCATTAGCGCATCCATCGTTCCCACAACCACAACCACAACCACAACCACAAAATTCGATTGGCGGGGTAACAGGAAGTTTACAAAATTATGGGCCTGCTAGTAACAGCTATCAGTTGAATACTTCATTGACGAGTTCTGGGTATAATGGTGTTTATAGGGTTCCGCCGTATGTAGGGGTGGCTCCAAATGATGGTGGATTGAACAATGCAGGGGCTTCAATGTATAGAATGCCACAGAGCACTGTTGGTACTGGTTCTGGGGTGTATCCAGATGCTGGGTCTTACGCGTTGTCTCAGCAACAGCAGCATCAGCAGCCATCCTCAATGCCACTGCCTCCTAGATTCCCACATGGAGCTGGAGGAATGTATCAGGGTATGCCACCACCATATTACTGAAGGTAATTATTGCTGACTTTTTTTTTTCAAATGATTTTGCCCCGTGTGAAGTTTTTATTTTATTTTGTTGTAACAATCCCTTTTTTCTTTTTATTTTTGTGGAAAAGTTGTTTTTTTTTTCAATTCGTTTGCACTTGTGAATTTTTAGACTAATTGCTATTTCTCTATAATTGTTGAGAAGCCGTGTCACAGCATTTGTGGATTTGATTGTGTTGTTATAGCATTTTCTTGTGGGTCATAGAGAACAGTTATAACTACACAACTGAAAGATAAAGAGTTTTCTGATCTTTAAAAGATACAGTACACTAGTTGTAGTTTTATTTCATGGCTTTCTACAACTTTTTGGTTTGTTATTTTGTGCTCAGCTAGCCTGAGCTTTATTTTATATGTTTGACATTGATGGGTCTTTGATTCAGGTGTATGAGAGCTTCTTGGGAACACATGCTTTAAATGGTTGTCGTGATTTCCTGAATGCAAGCAATGAAATCTTTAATTTAATTATGTGGACTGCTGTGCTTTTGTTGCTGCTTCACTTCATCTGCTTCCTTAAGATGTGGTTGGATTTGTGATGGATGCTACTTAAACTTTGCAAAATTAGTTTCTATCTGTAGAACGGGGCTTTTACAGAAGGATTGTAGAACTTTTCTGCTATGCCGGAATTAATGTTTATCTAGATTATAAATATCCCTGTTTTTCTGGTTTTGCTACTCTTGCTCCTCAAGAAGATTTTTGGTATTTGAGGTTTCGTTGTTGGCTTTACCTTTCTGATTGTGTGGATTTTTTATTTCAATTGGTAAAAGGAATTTTTTTATTTCATTTGTCAAGAGTTCACAACATTATTTCTGCATATATCTCTCTGTGAGAGAAAAACTGTCTTTCTCTTTTACATATTTACATGTTGATGTGATGTCTTTTTTTTTTTAATTGCTTTTAATCCTTCTTTCCCCCCTGCCTCATTTGTTTAAAATGCATTTCGGTCCCTGAGGTTCTTCCCCCCCCTAAATTGTCTGTTTTTATAAATTGTCATCTTAGACATTGTGTTGTGGTGGAGGCTTCAAGAATGCACATGGCATTACAATGCTTCTAGTACCTCAGTTAGTCCAAGCTGTATTAATAACTGTTGTGTTTCTTGTATCCCTAAACTTCTCCTGTTCTGCCATGTATTATATTTGGCAGCATTTTTCTGGTTTCTGGGTTGTTGGGTTACAGAAACAGGGAATGAGTTTTTAAAACAATGGACAGTGATTCCATTGCAAATGGAACTTGCAACATGCAGATTTGCCAATATGGTCTAGGTCTAATAAATAAATTTAATGCACCAGTGTAATTTCTCTCAAGATAAAATTACTAAATACTATGTTGATTTTATCCTATGTAATATTTTGAAACTAGTGGAAATGTGATTTTGGGTTATGTAGTGACTGGAATTTGGGATTTTGTGTGTTGGCTTTTGGAATTTCTTGGTTGATGTTTTTGTAAGAGGTGTCTTTATGATGTTCACTGTTAGTTATTATGAGATTGTGATCTCGTGATCAAATTCCCCATGTGTAATAGTGTAAATCCCTTCATTGGTATTTATACTCTGATGTCAGAGATTAGATACATGGCAGAATTGTTTTAGAAGTCTATGCCTGAATCTGATTAACCTTTGTTAGATGATTTAAATTATTGCTCATGCTACCTGTGTCATATGGTGCTGGAATTGATGACTTTGGTGTTCTTTTCTGGTTTGTTCCCAATATTTTTTGTGGTGGGGGCATGTTAAGTTGGGGTTCCAATTTGCTTTCCCTCTGGAAGCAAGCAATGGCCAACATCCATTCAACCAACCACCCATTTCTTAGGACATCTAAAGATTGTCTCTTGTCTCCTAATGCTATTTTTTGTTAATTAAATGATATTTTGCACTCCATAAAACATTAATAAGTTTTATGAACTTCTTTTATAGGTTAAAAATCATTGTGAGAATACAATATTTGGCTTTCAATCCAGCTAGTAGCCGGTCTTGTTCTAGAGTTCTGGTTTATATGTTTACATGGGTTTTCCTGTTTGACAATGACTTAACTTGAATGATAATATATTAAAAGCTTAATATAATTGAAAATAATTGTGATTCTCTTTCTTCTATTAAATACAAAAATGAAGGAAATTTAGAGCAATATCAATATGCAATAAGATAAGAGAGGTATATTACCTTGAATTTTAATTGCTGATCCATACAATAAGTCTTCCATGTTGGTATTTTAGTCCTCAGCACTTTTAAGTGCTGTGAGAGCTAGATCTTTGAATTTAAACTTCAATTGGTTTTTGTTTGTGATATGAGTCATTTGACTTTAGGTTCCTTCACATTACAGCTTCAGTGCTTGTATAGATATGCATAGCATTGATGCGTATTCATATAAGCAGTAAATTTGTAATGTGTTGACACTATAGCAGGATGGCAATCTTAGGGGTTTCAGGTTGCACCATGTTATCAATCATGGGAAATGCTCTTAACAGCACAACTAGTTGCTAAACTATCATTGTACTCTTACAAGGGTGTATAAATCTTGACTTCATTTGCTCCTGAAGGTCATTAAATGCTTTAGGCCCCAACTGACGGTTTTAGTGCTTGTATAAATATGCTTGCAAATTGTCTATTTAAGTATTGAAGCTGTACTCGAAAGTTGTTGCTTGCTGGTGGGCTTCATGAATGTTAATATGCTTGCAAAGTGTCTATTTAAGTATTGAAGTTGTATTTAAAGTCGTTGCCTGCTGCTGGTGGGTTTTATGAATGTATCTAGCATTACAATGCCTCTGGTATTCATAGTGCGAATTGTAGCAATAGTTCTGCTTCTTGTACCTTTATATTTCTCTTGCTTCGTTCACGCCTTGTCTGGTACCATTGATCAGTTTTTGGGCTGTTCAGGTTTACAAAAACAGTGAATTTTTTTTTAATAGCAATTGATGTAGAAACCCCGCTACAGTGTGCAAATTTGTCAATGAGATGTAGACCTGATAAAAAAATTGACAGTCTTAAACATGAAATAAAAACAAAAATTGCCTGGGATCAAATTCGTATCCTAATTTTATGTAATCTAATGAGATGTGGTGTGGGGTATATGTTGATCCTCATTTTGTATTTGGTGCACACTGGCATTTGGAAGCTTGGTTGATGCTGTGGTGAAGAGGGGGTCTCTATGATGTCAGGTTTTCGCGATTTTGCTAGTTGATTTGGGTCCTGTTCCTGGGCAAATCCCATTTTTGTTTTGTTTGTGGCTTCTAAGCTCCATGTGAAATCAACTCTTTACCAATCTATTCTGGGAATTCTGTGATTGCATTCTCTCATTAAGCTTGCGCATGCAACCTGTCATTTGGAGATGGAAACTAATGACTTTGCCGGGTTTTTTGTCTCCTGTCTTTGTTAATGTTTTTCTATGGTGTGCCGCCCCTAACCACGTGGACCATGGAGGGGGCATGAGCAACATCTATCTCGAGCATTCGCAGTGATTAATGCTAGTGGAGGTTGTTTTCGAGGAGCTTCAACCATTGCAGAACACTGGTCCACGTCCGAAAGTATATTACAAAGCTTCATATAACTGAGAACCATTCTGACTCGTTCGACATCTAAGAATAAAATAATATCTCGATAAACATGTATTTCTCGAGTTGCTGTGAGACCCCGGTACAGTTTCCGTGCTTGTTAATTTATATGCACTGCAAAAATATTTATATAGGCATTAACCTTCTGGTGTGGTGGGAATGTTGCCCTCTTTTATGGACTGAAGTTGGACCATAAAGTCATAAATATTAAAATAGGGTGGCTACGATGCACGCGTCTTAGAATTTCAAGTAGCTATTTGACTCTAGTGAGTCGGATAAATTTGTCCTTGAGGGGATAAAATTGAATATGCATGCGTGTCAATGCATTTTGACATAAAAAATAACTACATGAATTAAGAGCTATCTATGTCAATAAGAAAAATCATTAATGATAACTAAATATTAAAAAAAATGATATTATGAGATAGTTTTATTGCTTCATGATTAAGATATTTGCAATGTGATTATTTATGGTTGTTTAATGATGTGTTTTAGTAGAATTAAATTTTTATTACTTAGTCAAAGGATAATATGGAGTATTTTTTACCCAATTTCAAAACTGCCATCGATTTTCTTCATCCTTTTCACCATGTTCTTTTTCTTTTTCTTTTTCTAATCTTGCTTTTCCTCAACAAATTAGAAGAAATTGGCCTTCAAGTAAGCCTAATAGAATGAAATCTTCAAAAAGGAAGTTTGATGGTTAAAATAGAAAAAAAAAAAAAAAAAGGGAGGTTGGAGGGTTAAAAAAAAAAAAAAAAAACAATTAACACAGTTCAAGGTGAAATATGAGTGGGGTTATGGTGACTATACTATTTGGTTTAGTTTTTTTTTTTTTTTTTGTGTTAAAGTCATTTTTTTTAAGGTATAAATATTTTTTAATTTTAAAAATAAAATTTATTTATGTAAAACATAAATAAATTTATAAATTAAAGTAGAATAATCTTTTCGAAACATTAAATACATATAAAATAATTTAAAAAATAAATGCTATTAAAAAATATTAAATAAACAATTTAAACAATCATAAGAACGGAGTATAATTTAAATATAAATTAAAAAATTGTTTGAAAAAATACATATTTAAAAAAGACATCAATTAAAAAAAAAAAAAAAGCAGCCTAAACACTACTAGGCATAGTAAGCCAATCCCGTGTGCTTAATCCTTAATCCATTTTGAAAGGGCATGTGAGTAGGTTGTAGGCTTTCACACGTAGGCTTTTATTTTTTTAATATGGTAATGCGACAAATAACATGTCATATACCCCCAAAATGTTTTAGAAAAATAAAAAGGTTGGTGAAATGTGGCTTGTTTTTCCCTTTATTCCAGCCATAGTGGTGCTTCGAAAGTCGTTGATGGTTTTTTTATGTAAAAATCAATTTTTAATTTAAAATATTTAAAATATCTTGATAAATTTATATATGATCTTAAAAATATAAAAATAATTCTTGTAAAAATTCAAAATCAACTTAAAACCAAAATATTTTTTAAGTTTAGATTTGTTATCTTAAGCAAAACAAGGAACAAAGATACAAAGGATAAACTCACGTCATTGAATGAAATCCTCACATCAAAATTGATTTTAAAATCTAAATCTAACCACTTTCTTTTGCTTCTCTCAAGCCAATGAATAAAAAATATATGAAATTAAATTTTTGGACTAAAATTGATTTTTTATAAAATGAAGATAAAAAGTTTATAATTTAAAAAATAAGAGGATTAAAATGAATTTTTTAACTTAAAATTGAAAGTACCATCTATTTTCTTTGTCTCTTTCATTATAATCATCCTTTCAATCTTGTCCTTACTTAATAAATTTGAAATAATCGAGTTTTAATTTGGCTTCAAAAAATTACAATTAGAAAAAAAATTAAGAATTGAAATAAAAAATTAACACAATAAGTCCTCGGTGAAACATACGAGAGAATTAATAATGTTTTTTTATGCTATGACGAAGATCCACATGTTTTAGAATTTCTTATAATTATAATGTTTACAATTAACACAGTTCAAGGTGAAATATGAGAGGGGTTATGGTGACTATACTATTTGTTTCAGTTTCTTTTTTGGGTTAAAATCACTTTTTTTTTAGAATAAATATTTTTTAATTTTAAAACTAAAAGTTATTTATGTAAAACATAAATAAATTTATGAATTAAAGTAGACCAATATTTTCGAAACATTAAATACATATAAAAAAATTTAAAAAAATAAATGCTATTAAAATATATTAAATAAACAATTTAAACAATCATAAGAATGGAGTATAATTTAAATATAAATTAAAAAATTGTTTGAAAAAATACATATTTAAAAAAGACATCAATTAAAAAAAAAAAAAAAGAGCCTAAACACTACCAGGCATAGTAAGCAAATCCCGTGCGCTTGGTCCTTAATCCATTTTGAAAGGGCACGTGAGTAGGTTGTAGGCTTTCACACGTAGGCTTTTATTTTTTTAATATGGTAATGCGACAAATAACATGTCATATACCCCCAAAATGTTTTAGAAAAATAAAAAGGTTGGTGAAATGTGGCTTGCTTTTCCCTTGATTCCAGCCATAGTGGTGCTTCGAATTTTTATGTAAAAATCAATTTTTAATTTATTTTTAATCTAAAATATTTTAAATATCTTAATAAATTTATATATGATCTTAAAAATATAAAAAAATTCTTGTAAAAATTTAAAATCAACCTAAAACCAAAATATTTTTTATGTTTAGATTTGTTATCTTAAGCAAAACAAAAAACAAAGATACAAAGGACAAACTCACGTCATTGAATGAAATCCTCACATCAAAACTGATTTTAAAATCTAACCACTTTCTTTTGCTTCTCTCAAGTCAATGAATAAAAAATATATGAAATTAAATTTTTGGATTAAAATTGATTTTTTATAAAATGAAAACAAAAAGTTTATAATTTAAAAAATAAGAGGATCAAAATAAATTTCTTAACTTAAAATTGAAAGTACCATTTATTTTCTTTGTCTTTTTCATCATAATCATCCTTTCAATCTTGTCTAAATTTTTTTTGAAGTAATCGGGTTTTTTAATTTGACTTCAAAAAATAAAAAAAAAAAAATTAACACAATAAGTCCTTGGTGAAACATACCAGAGAATTAATAATGTTTTTTTATGCTATAACGAAGATCCACATGTTTTAGAATTTCGTATAATTATAATGTTTGTATATTCATGGAGTTGTGGTTGTGCAGTATTCTCGAAGGGATTTTATGTGATTAGTCATGGACACTGTAATTGCTAAAACTTCAAAGTAATCGCGGGACAAAAAATAAAATAAATAAATGATAAAATAAGTTACGTATCTCAATGAAAAAGATAAAATGAAATAAGCAAGTGAAAAATACGATGGTGATTCTCAACAGTAGCATTGTAGATCGATTAAAAGGGGTGCAGTGTAGCTTGGTAACCCGTTTGTTAAAATCCTCCTATCTTCACTCTTGAGCAATACAATAATAAGAGATCAATTGAGATCAATTAAATTTGAGCATAACTTCTCATAAATTAATATCATGTTTATATTGTATTATTATTTGTTATATTTATATATAATATAGTTTATATATGAGATTGTAGAAGTAAAACAAAAACAAATCCATAAATCTAAGTCATTGATCATTGAATTTGGTGGTATCCGTGCATGCATGATGGAAAATGATGTTAGACTAATCTGTAACTCTAGGGTGATCGTATCAGTTATCTGAAGCTCTATATTCATCGTCTTCATGGTTTTAATGTTTCTATAGATATGTGCAAGGCAGTCCACTTGTATAATAGTAATATTGTGTAGGACCCTTGCATAAGCTTAGAGGGCTTTAGGTTATTCTATGTACAGTCATGGGAAATTTTATTAAAATTAAGGGAAAAAAAAACTAGTGAAAACACTATAGCCCAAGAGAAAATCCAATGTGATTGTGATTTTTTTTTTCTTGAAGCATTTTTTATTCATTTATAGATTTCTTTTTATTTTATCTTTATATATTGTGTTGATTAGATTCTAGGCCTAATAATTTGTTTCTATTAATTTATAATAGGGTTCCATGATATTAAAAAATCATTTTGATATTAAGTTGAAGTTCAATTTTACAAGATGAAATTTAATTTTATTGCTTAGAAAAATTTAAAAAACCAAAAACCAAATTTGACATTGAAATAAAGAAAAGTTTTCCTTTTCTTTTTACTGTTCTTTTTACTGTTAGGAAGGCTTTTTTTTTTTAATTTTGGTCTCAAAAGTTTCACCATTTTTCTTTTTTAATCCCTCCTTATCAAAACTTGTCTTTTTACTGTTCAGTCATGCACTTTATTTGTTTTCTGTTTTGGTTCTTGGATTTTGTGAGGAGATGGAGCTGTTGGAATACAGGGAAGGAGGTGAGGAGATGGATTCGTCAGAATGCAGCGAAAAAAGAAGAAGAAGAAGTTAAAATGCTATCATTGTATTTTAAAGAGTGATGAAAAATCAACTCCTGAACATAATAAAAAAAATTTAAAAAATGATCTTTATACCTCACGAATCAAATTGTAAAATTATAAAAATAAAAAATTTAATAAAAAAATATTAAAAAATAAAACAAATAGCTAAACTAAGTGAGATCATTAAAACCTGTGTAATATTATGCCAAACCTTAAATATAAAAAATATTGAATTGAATGGCAAAATAAAAAAAAATGAAATTCATAAAATAATTCAAAACATATATAAAAAAATATCAAAAAAAATAATTTTTTAACAAACTCAATGATCAATGATGATAGATAAAATTTAAAATAATTAAAAATGATTGAAAGGAACCCAATCCAAGCTTCAAAATCTCTAACATAGTTCATGAGGCTGAATCACAACGTAAAAGATAAATAAAAAAATATAAAATTATAAATCAGTTAAATAATTAGAGATAAACTTGAAAAATTAAATTTAAAAAAATAATTTAAAAAAATGTAGATTTGGATAGAAAGAGAACCAAATTCACAAAAAGAAAATAAACCAAATTATAAGAGATGGAATTAAAAAATAATTTCAATTAAGAAAAGGATAAGAACAAGTAAGAATAACAATCAAAAGAATAAAAATCATATTTAATATAAAAATAAAATGTTAAGAGCTAAAATCCAAAGACAAATTAATTCAATAAATGATTTAAGACAAAAAAATATTATAATTAAAAGAACGATAACCAAATCTAATATAAAAATAAAGTATAAAGAAATGTAATTGAGAAAACAATTAACTTAATAAATGATTCAAGACCAAATGCATTGCAATTAAAAGAATAAGTATCAAACCTAATATAAAAATAAAATATTAAGGGATGAAATTTAAAAAAAATCAACTCAATAAATGATTCAAGATCAAATATATTGCAATCAATAATAAGAATCTAATTTAAGTTAATAAATAAATAACTATACTTTCTTATTTTTTTGCAATGGTCAGCATGATTTTTTAAATGAAGAGAGGAAAAAAAGGGAGGAAGGGAAAAGCTCATTGCTAGAGCTCCTCCTCGTGCAACTGGAGAACACGCCCTCACCACTATGATGAAGATGGTGAGATACATCGAATGACCCCTCGAACAACAACATTTGATGTTGTGTGGGCACAACACGTGCCACCTAAAGGGTACGTACGACTCTTACTTCCTGGCACATGCATAACATAAGCCAACAATTTTTAAAATATATATATTAGATCACCGCTATCTTTATACAATGCATAACATAAGCCAACAATTTTTAAAAATATGCTATCTCTATACGAAAATTACAAAAAAACCATAGAAAAAACCTAAAATGACATTGCATTCATAGAAAATTTATTTTTTAGGGACATTTAAGCAACCAACATGCACAAAAAAAATAGAAAAAACCTTAAAAGTCCTTAAACCTAAGGATGTCGATTCCATTTCATTTCGTTCGAAAATGATCAAAATATTTCATATCAATTCACAAAATAGAATAATTTTCATCTTATTTTAAATCTTGGTCCATTCCAGATTTTTTGGCTAAATTTCATCCAGAATATTCAAGTTTCATTTCACATGTTTTGTTCCGGTCTTGAAAAGCTATTGAATCAAACTAAACCCAGTTTAATTTAATTAATTAAACCACCCAAGTATAAAAATATTTTTCATTACTATTTCAAATAACAATGATATTAATAATAATATTAAAAATTATTATTACTATTGTCATTAATATTGATATTAATTTTTAAAAAATTAGATTTATCACTAATATATATGGTTTATATTCATGTTGTTTTTTCATATTTATACTTTATAGGAATTTAAGTAAAATAAAGGATATTTTAGATCTAATTAGTTTTGATAACATTGACCTAGTTTTATATTTAAAATATTTGTGTTAAAATATTATATTTTTATAATATTTTGATATTTTATTTAAGTTGAATTACTTTAAGTTAAAAATCTATTTAATTTTGACTATATATAAATATTTTAAAATTAAAAATTATTATAATTAATTTATCTTGAATTTTGAATTATATATTTGTTGAATTACATATATAGACTATAACCCTAAAATAACACGCCGGAACACTCTAAAATTAAAACATTTTATTTCAATTAAAAAATAAAATACTTGCTAAAACAGAATTGACAATCTTACTTAAATCAAAAGGATTTTTTTTAAGGGTTATTTGATAGTTATATTGTAGAAAAAAATGAAATTATTAATTAACTTATTTTTTAATGTAATTATAATTATAATTATATTTTGTCAAACATATCATGTATCAAGATCAATGTAAACCTCTTTATTAGCGGTACCAATTGCATTCACAAGTTAATCCAGATTTAGTGGATTATACGTTCTGTACTCCCAGAAAAAATAAATAAATTTCAAAAGCTTCTCAATAAATACATCGAATTAAAAAAAATGTAGATAACTTACGGTGCAACTTGGGATCAAATCTAACTAATCCAAAATGGGTTCACAAGAAAATTTTAATGGCAACTCTTGATGTCATTTTAGTTATTCCATGATTTTATTAACTGGTGTACCATGTCATCACAGCTCTAAAAATTAAATTATTACCTCTCTTTTCTTTCCTCAACTCTTTTTCATGCAGAGTAATGATAAATCACGAGGTTAATAACTTTTTTCCCTTAATATTATGGCTCTTAATCTACAAACAGGTCAATGCCCTCTCTCTCTCTCTCTCTCTCTCTCTAAATCTCTTATAAATTAAGCAATAACACTTTGTTTTTACTTATATTGAAGCCCAAGTAACCATCAATACTCTTTCCTTGTGTTGAATTTGATGTGTTTATTGAGCAAGCATTGATTTTTGACAGATTTTATAGTGTAAGAGTGTACTCCCTGGTCTCGTTAATACGCCATGTCAAGGTCCCATGTCACAAAATCCACAGAAAAAGAAACCTCTCTTTCCACCATCTCTGCAACTTCAGAGCCCATGTGGCTTTTCTCAAATCCACGCCATAAGGTAATGTATAAACCCTTGTGAAATCCCTACATAGAGTTGCTTTCATGTTCTCTTAGAAAGTTTCATCAATTGAAAAGGACAAGTTCTGAATTACAAGAGAGCTACTGATATGATTATGGCATGAAGGGATACTGAAAGCAGAAGTACAAAGCAGCAACATAGTACCATGTCTTTGTGCTCTTACTGGAATTTCAGGTGCTGGAACCGCCCATCTTGCCTTTACTCTTCTTGGATTTGCTGACATAAATGACTACATGTTATATTAGTTAATGACGGTTCTTGGATTTGCTGACATAAATGATTAAATGTTATGTTAGTTAATGAAATAGATAATAACTAATATGATTTTACTAATTATTTTACGAGTATCATAAATTATTTTTCAAATTTCGGGATGTAATTTTTGACAAATTCTCTCATTTTGGATCTTTGGAGTCCTTTGCTTGCATCTAACCCATTCTACATGTTCATGTGATCAACAACAACGGTCTCTACTTTTTATATCACTATCCACACCAACTGTACAAGTTGCAAGTAAAATTTGAATTTTGAAATCAAGATTTAAGGATATCTTTAAATCTAAGTAATTTTAGGAATATTTTATGTTTATCTTTTAAAATCAGCTTCCGTTATACAAAATTCACATTGAAAAATAGCACAAACAATAAAAAATGAAACTATAGTAAAAAAAAACAAAAACAAATTATTGTATATTTGGAAATGCGGGTATTTTTTAAAATTTAATTTTTTATAATTTTTAAATCATTTTAATATATTGATATTAAAAATATTTTTTTTTAAATAAAAAAATTATTTTATATATTTTTAAATTAAAAATATTTTTAAAAATAACTATTACTTCAAAATTCTTTCAAATAAAATATTGTTAGTGTTAGCATTTTTTTTTAATGGGTTATACCTGGTTTTTCTCGACAGATCAACCCCTTTTCTTTTCTTTTACTCCCCCCTCTTAATTAATAAATAAAGGTACTTGTTATCAACAAAACAGAACTCCATAAATTAAATAAAATAAATAGCCTCCTCTCTCGCTCTCGTTCTCTGTAGTCTATAGTCTGTAGTCTGTACTGTAGGAGGGAGGAGGAGAGGGAGTAGGCGGCTTTCACTCTAAAAAGCTACTTTAATAAGTGCGTGTTTTATAGACTCTTTTTCCTTTTTGGGAGGAGGAGAGGGAGCAGGCGGCTTTCACTCTAAGAAGCTCCTTTAATAAGTGCGTGTTTAATACTCTTTTTCCTTTTTGTCATCATCAATAACAACACTCTATTTTTGTCTATTTTTGTTTTTCTTTCTATTCTATTTTAATTACAAAACAAATATACTTTTGTTTTCTCTTTGTTTAGTACAGTAAATAAACTTTTTTTTTTTGGAAGGTATTCAAGACCTTTTCTTTTTCTTTGGGCAATCAACTTGTAAGTGACCCAACTTCATGTTTAGTGTGTGTGTGTACTGGTTTGAGTGGCTTGTCGGAGTTAGATTAGTGTGAATCTGCAGCCATTAATTTTGCAAGCTGATCATCTGAACTTTTTCTGTCTCTTACTTTTTTATGGGTTGAATTTATATTTGCTACACGATTTTTTCTTTTGGGAGGAGGAGGGAGTTGTTATAATCTTTCTTCGTGCTTGTTATCTCTGTCCCTGGACTGCTTTTATTCGTGAGCTATCACTGATCTTCCCAAAGTTGCCCAGCTTATGGATTCTCGTTAATTTTGGCTCACGGGCTTTAATTATTTTTGTTCCTTTCCTTTTCTTTTGACTCTCTCGCTGATAGTTACCTAAGAAACTGAGAAAAAAAAGCTGAAAAAAATATACATTCCATTCTCAACTATTTTTGTTTCTGATTTGATGCTTTTTAGCCCTGATATTGTAGTATTTTCTTTTTTATAAATTGTAGACTTCCCAGTTATCTGACTACAGATGTTTGTAACAGTCTGAGTTAGAGGTGCCATATGTACAAATTAATGCCAAGTTGTTTTTGTTGATAAGGTTATCAAAAAGTAAAGGTATGGCCTGGATGCGGAATATGTACAAGAAATTCGAAGCTATGTGTTTGGAGTTGGATGATATTCTGGAGCAGGTATTCTTGCCATTTACACAATCAATCTCCTTGAAATGTACCCATGATTGTTTTTATTATTTGCGTTCTACAGATATTTTTCTTTTTGTGTTTGACTGAATATTTACTGATTGTATTTCCGATCAAATCATGTTTCTAAAGCATAAATATTTCTAGTTCATCAAAAGAAAAGATACAGTTTTAGTATGCGTAAATGGTTAATGCAATCTACCCACCGCTAAGAGGCTGCAACATGCCCGAAGCACCCATGCCTGCATAATGCAGTTGACGTTATTGTGAGGAAACCCTTCCTGCATTTTTCTAATGGAAAAGCCTCACCTTTGGGCAGATGACTCTTTCTTTTCTCTGATGAATGGCTTCTTTAAACCTTACATCATTCATTACAGATTTCCTTGAAAACTCTAGATCCTGGTACAGTAAGATAGGATTCCGTAATTTCCTCGAGCATAACAAATTTTTGGTTAATACTGCAACTCCAAACTGTTCGTTAATTATAAAATTTAGAACAAAAGTATTAATTTGTACCGGTTTTCATTTTAATTTGTTACAATTGATTTTCTGATGTGATTGTCCTGATCTCTCTCTTAAATCCTTAATGTTGCTTGCTTGCTGCCCGATTCCTGCTTTAGCTGCAGTCAGTTCTGCCAAAACATATGTCATGAAATTGAATACATTCTTGGACAGGAAGGGTTGAAATATGCCGACCACTTGCAGACAGTAGGTGCCAATGTCAAGCAATTTTGCTCAGATATTGTGCGAGATGTGCAGCCTCAGCCGTCTGAGGATACTGTGGATGGCGTAGCTAGCGTCTCTTGTCTAGTGAAAAACACCGAGTCAGATAAAATGTCAAAGGAAGGCATTGTCCAAAACCATTTTGATATGGAACCTTGCAACGTGAGTCGTTTGCTCTACTCATGTTCTGTTGAACCTATCAAGCCCACAAAGAATGATCTGTCTTTGGAGGAAATGGTTGTTGCTGAGATATATGAAAAATCAGTGTCAAGTCTTAAGGAAAATCGTTCCGAGGAGAAGCAAGTTCAGCTTGAGACATTGGATACCCCAGAAGAGAAAGATCTAAGCATTTCAGTATTATCCTCAACATCTTATGATCTACTCGAAAGTAACTCTTTAACAGAGGTAATTCCAATAGATGGGCTATCTTCAAAATCTGTTAATTTGGTTGACTCGTATGAAAGCAAGGTTCCAGAGTTGGGATTTACTTCTAGGGAGGCCTCAGCTGAATCAATCAGTAAGTATTTCCTTCTGCTATCTCTAAACTACTCCCTCAATTTTCCTTTTCCTCCATTGATATCTGCGTTGGTAGGCCTAGAAACTCATGTAGCCCCCTAACCACATCTGGGACAGAGCCTTCTTTTCTCGAGTTTGAGCCATACAATGATTTTTCCAAACCAGATCCCATTGTCTCGTCTTGAAACTGCTGTGGTCAAGGTTTTGACTTTAAATAAGAACTAGTTTTGCTATGGGGAAACTTCACTAGCTCATTTAGCATTCAAGGCTTTACTTTATAACCTGTGAACTTTCTAGCCCAACTCTATCCTGCAGTTTCTCTTTTATCTAGTGGGGGAGAGATAGAGAGAGAGATTCCCATCTGAAAAGATAGAGAATATTGTGGATGAAAGTTAGAAATGAAAGTTCTTATTATCTTTTGCATTTCACAAACTATTTGTTGTTTGTCTTGATTTAGCTGACCTTGCAATCAAAGAACGGAGCAATTACGATGATATTTACCTTTCTTATCTTCTTACAGGACAGATAGACAACTCCACTGAAGATGCTACCAATCCGGGATCATCTTCTTCAGTGAAACTTGATGGGAGTTGCTTTGTTACAGATTGCAATGAGCTTTCTTCTGTTTCATATGAAGCAGGACAACTAGGGTCTTCCAAGGTATGACTTCCTCTCAAGTTTGTAAACGGGGTTAGTTTTGGTCATATATGGAGCAAACTCATGAAATTTTAAATATGCAATCTTTTGACATTTGAACTTTTGGGCATTAATGTACTAACACTAGAGTTTAAAATGAGCTATTGCACTGTCAAAAGTTGAAACTTTTGATAACCAATGTTTCTCTTTTCTCTTGTTTTCCTGCAGGAAACCTTGGATAATGTTTCTTTCAAAAGAAGGGAGGCAGCGAGTCAGGCTTTCAATCAGGGACCAGCTTTTGATCCAAACCCCAGTCAACAGAAAGAAAGTTTTGCATCAACTGTTATTACCAGACCAGATCACGATCCCTGCGATTCCGACTGGGTGATTGTCTAGATAAATTAATTAGAACATGATTAATTCGGCGATTCAAGTGATTTTGTTGCCTCATTCATGCAAATAAAGGATGTAAACTCGTTTCAGATGCTTTGAATTAATGCGGCTAGTACATCCCTGATGATTTTATAGAGGTCGAGAGAAAATCAGGTGAACTTTCTAGGCATGAGGAAGTTCATCATTGTCTAAGAAATGGAACCAATTATGAAGGGAATTATGATCAGCTAAACGTTCAATACATTATCAAGTTGCAGCGTAATAAAAGTCTAATCATTACAAGAACTTGTGTTCAGTAGTCTAAATGAAAGAAACCCATGTGATATATTATGGATTAACTAACCTTTCAGGCGCAATCATGATTTATTTAATTCAGTTAAAATCTGAATTGTTTTTCTTTCTAAATAAAAATTAAAAAGATGATATAATAATTTTTTTACACTAAAATTGAATTGAAGATCTTTTAGATGATATAGGTTAAAACAAATTATCCTACTTAATGCATGATCTAAGATATGATTCTAGATGAGTTTAATCTTATTTTTTAGAATTTATTTTTTATTTAATTAAATAATTATAAATATAAATGTTTACATGAAAACAATCAATAGAATTATCAAGAAGCAATGCATTTTTTCTATCTAGATTTTATTTATTTCCTTATTAATGTATTTTTTTATTATACTTTTTAAGTACAATAAGACAATAGCATGCTTTTTAACTGAAAATACTGTTTTTTAAATATAAAAGTATCATGATCTCACAAGAAAAATCCAAAATAATGTTTCAATATTCTTAAGTGATTGAAGGGAACAAAATCTATATAAAAAAAAAAAATCCCAAAGAAAGAGGCTATGCATCTGGCCAAAGAGATTGAGCCTGCGCGTCTAGCACAAAAAAGTCAAACCCAAAGCAATGTCAAACTATATCCCACTGTATAGGAGGACCAGACTGAATTATCCAGCTCCTTCTCAATGGCGTCTGCTGAAAATAAATGCACCAGAATATTGGGGAAGTGCATTGATTATTGGATGCTTAGCAGCAATAAGTTCTGGATCTGTTCACCCTATTATTGCTTACTGCGTGGAATCACTCGTATCAAACTACTTTCTCAGTAAATCCAACACTTATATATATACATAGTAATAAAAGAAATATTATTAGAATTCCAGGGTCTTTAAAAAGATGTCAAACTGGAAAACAACCAAAAACATTCCAATCAAAACAATTCTATGTGTGAATCTATTCTAAAATTTACTTTGAACTCTAAAAAGATCCAAACTTGCATACACGAAATTAAATTCAAAAATCTTCAACTATGAATCAAGACGGTAGAAAATGAATTCAAAAATTTAATCTCAATATAGTAATTGATCCTAACTAGCTAGATATTCTATAATATTCCATAACCTCGATGCGAAATTTTTCTTTCACAATATCCGTACTCCACTGTACTTTCTGGTATACACCATTGAATATATATAGCTGACCAATTCAAACAACACATTGTCTCTTGTTTTCTTAGGCATTGCTACTCTTAGATTTCATCACCAGTCTCCTCCAACACTACATTTTTGCAGTTATGGAATAAAAGTTGACAAGGAGAGCACGTAAGGAACTGCTAGCAGAACTTATGAGTTTTGAAATATGGTGCTTTGATGATGACGAGAACACTAGTGCTATAATTTGTCATTGCTGGTTCAAACATTCTTCAGGTCTCTTTTTGCTTATACACTAGGGCTTATTCTCACATGGAGGCTAGCCCTTGTGATGATTGCAGTATAGCCTTAGGCTGTAAAAAAGATCAAACATGGGGAGCAATTCACCAAGTCAATTGAAAAAGAGGAAACGAGAGTCTGCGAGTGTCAAGCATAGCAACAAAAGTCGGGAATCCCTCTTTCCAATGCGAACTATATCTGTGCTAATTCAATTCCTGATTTCCCTCATGAATTACAACCCTCTAATAATTTTAGGGTTAGAATTTTTTTCTCTTCAACAACTCCTTCTTCTTCGTTTCTAATCTAAATTTTCTCTTCAACAGCTCCCTCTTCTTCGTTTCTAATCCAAATTATTTGGATGAGATTGAACAGATGATTTCTTGAAGGTTAATAACCCCACAACTTAACCGTGAACATGGATTCACAAAATTGGGAGATCAAACTATGCCGACCAAGCTTAGAAGAAATACATTTGTTCTATCTAGAGAGAATATCATGGAGAGAGAGAGAGAGAGAGCGAGATGAGGCATAAAGAGTGAGTGTATATCGTTTCGTTTCGGTTTGTAATATATTATATATAAGGGTAAAAAAGTTATTTTACATAGTTTGAAAGTTGAGGTTGACGAAGGATTTAAAGTGTAATTTTTTAGATTTTTGAGAGAAAGCGAAAAAACACCGAACTATAAGAGATTCATATAATTCTCTCTTTATTTTTCTTATTGAAAAAATAACACATAATTTTCTTGTTCAAATAAGAGCCACAGAAGAGGAGGCTGAAAAATCAAGCTCGGTTTTATTATATCTAAAAAAATAAAATTTAATTTATTTTTATTTAAAAACATCTAATAAATACTTTTGAAACCTTAATAAGCTACTTTTTCAATTAAAAAAAAAACACCCTAAATAGGTTAAAAAACAGAAGATTAATCGAGAAAAAAAATCTTTCTCAACCTTCATCTATTTTTTTAATAATATAAAACATAAAAAATACCTTGATGATACTACTTTCATCAAAAGTGTTGCTATTTAATTTTTGATCCATGTTTTTGATAAATTTTTAAAAAATAAAAAATAGCAAAAAAAAACAAAGAAAACCTCAAAAAAATACATTTTGATATATTTGCATCATTTTTACTATTTTCAACATCATCTTAGAAAAATTTAAAATTTTAAAGGTATTTGAAACGTATTCAACTTTTAACGCATTAATTTTACAATCACTAATTTTTATTATTGAGTCGATGTTGAATTCTCCAAACAAGCCTGCGCGTCTCCTTCCCCATCATAGCAAAGCCGCCACTCCTTTCAACATTGGTTTCTCCACATTAGATTTGCCACTTGAAGAAGAAAGAAAGAACAGTAAACAAAAGGGCAGGAAGACAGTAGAAAATAGATCTAAAAGGGGAAAAGAAAAACAAAATAAAATCGACTGTTTATGGTGCTTGCTTGGCTTTGCAGGTGATGTCATTCTCACCGCCGACAAAGAAGGGAAGAGAGGAGAAGGTCATTACAAACCCCATGCTTGTTTGGATTTTTTGACCGCGCTGCGTGAACCCACATGCCGCCAGTGTTGGTGGTGCGTGGAGAAGACGCGCCGCCATTGTCAGGCGACCCAAAGGCTTCACAGTGCTATTCATGTGCCTCAGAGCTTCCAGCACTATTCCCGAGGCTTTCTTTTGTAATTTTCAGACGTGGATGTATGTTTTCATATTATTTTTATTTGATTTGTTTTGAATTCTTGTTATTTTGTAATATGTAAATGTGTGTGTATGATGAAAAACATAATAAAAAGGGTCGTGGGTATGTTTGTATTTTTATTTATGTTATTGAAAAATTAAAAAAAGTAAAAAAGAATTAATTATTTAATTTGAATATGATAAAATATCTGAAGAATAAATAAAATCATGTTGTATTTCCCGTGAAAATATAAGAACATGTTTCTACATATATTATGGGATTTAATAACTGATTTATTAAAGTCTTGGAATTTAATTAATATTTTAAATTTTCAAATCACATTAAATCACAAAACAACTTACCTCATGTATAGTGCGCTAGGGATGTTAATATCTTCTCTAGCCACAACCAGTCCTTTACCCTTGAATCTCTAACCATGGCCAGTAAATCCAAGTTTCCTAGTAACTCTCAATCAAATACTAAGTGGCAACTTCCAAGATCCCAAATCATGTAAACAAAATGAAAAAATCACCAAGTGACGCTGCGTGGGTGACGTGCGACAAAAAGGAACACATTAATACTCAATTTGATTTTGTTTTAATTTATGGAATCTAGCCAACTATCTACTTTCTTTCTTCTTCATACTTTCTTTCTTCTTCATCATTTTTCAGTCACTCACACTCATCTATCAAACTGAAGGATTAAAATGGAAACATAATAAAGCTTTAGATCAAAACATAAAAGTCTTAAACCAAAAGGACCAAAAAAAATAATCCTGAAGATAAATGATATGACTAAAAGATTGATGTCTTCTTTCAAATGCAAAAGTATCAAAGTAATAAATAACCCAACAAGATTGAGATCGAATTACAATGAGGTTAACTGTATAAATTATAAATAATAATAATAATAATAATAATAATAATGACGTAGATGGTGATGAATTAAATGAGGCTTTGAGATGTAAGATTAATGTAAGGATTAAACAAGGATAAAATGATTGTCAAGGTTAGAGGATTCACTAATGATACTTCAAACAAATATAGTATAATTTTTTTTTATTACTCAAGTGGAAACCACATACAAAGGAGATACTAATCAAATTATAAATTATTAACATAATTATATTAGTTATTTTATTTAAATAATGCTAATACTTATAAATATTATCAAGTATTCATGGTTATAACTTATGTTAACAACAAATCAAGTTCGTTTCATAGTACAAGTATAGGTTATATTATACCATATGGTTGAGTTATGAAGTGCCAAGTATTTGTTGTACCAAGTGTTATACAATAAAAAATTAGATTAACCATTTAACAAGCAAATTATTAAAAGTGAACAAGATAACAAATACAAAACATGTTACTATCAAATATTACAGTCCATATTGAGTTTATACGATACTTATTATTACATCATTAATGTAACCTTTTCACCTTGACATAATAAACTTAGCTAAATATATATATATATAAAAGGAAACATAAATAAACAAGATAAAAACATAAATAAGATATAAGTTAACTGAGTAAAGGACATGAAATGAAAAGCATAAATAAGATATTAATAAAAGCAAAACTTAAGTATTACAATATATATATTAAAGCAAGAACATTATAAAATCAAGATGTCTAAATGCATGACAAATGCCTATTTTTATAGGCCAAAATTGAGAACTATTGATTTGTTGACTAATTGTTGAGTGTATGGTCACTTCTTGACTTAGTAACAATCCTTATCTTCTTGTCTAAATAAAACATCATTACTAACATCAGAATTTAAATAGACTTGATCATGACAGTTCTAGAAAATTGTCTCAGCTTTCCAATAAAAAAATTAAAGTCATTTGGACTTCTAGAACTAGAGATATAGGCTGAACATTGAACAATATCTAAGCTACAGAACAGATTCCAACTTCTCCGTTGTTACTAAGATTTGAACTTTCAAATAATAGAATTAAGTCTTGTATTTCTATGAAAACTCTAGGTCTATGTCTTAGCTTTCTAGTCATATAAACCAAATTAAAATCCAAGATCTACAGTTTCAGATATGATCCAATGACTGAACAGTATTCTAGTTTGGACTGAACCAACATCTCTTTTTTAAACTTTACCATCTCTTTGTTTTTTTAATTTTAGTAGTTGAACTCATCAATTAATCTTTTAATTTATGTGATAGGCCTGCATTTAAGATGAACATTTATCATACATTAAAGGTATCATATAGTATCAAACTTGTTATTATAAAACATAATTTAGTTAAAGAATTATTGATATTTCAAATACAAAAAACTGATATAAAACCTTGATAAAAATATATTTTTAAGTACTAATCAACAAAAATGCTTAAAAAGATGCCTAACACACATTATTAAAAAATAAAAAGCCTACATTATTGCCTTATTATAAAATTTCATCCCTACATTTTAACATTTTAAATCAATTAAACCAAATTATATTTAGCATAATTTATCATCAACTTAATTTCATTTTCTTTTACACCGACACCTTATTAAAAAAAGCTAATTGAACTAAATTATTTTGTCTAGATCTTAGTTAACAAAAAGAGAAACGATGAGATTAAATTTTTTTTTTATTTTACGGTCTCAATAGTTCATGAACCACACCTTTTATACATACATCCATACATATATGTGTATTTATACATGTATTTGTGTCTATTTGTTCGTCTATCTATTTGTATGTATGACCTTATTTATGTATAATAGTAACGTTTGGTTAATATCTTATAATAGAAAAAACAAAGATAGTTATGATATAAAGGACATGTTCTTCTGCACTTCTTATTTTAAAGGGATAAAAATTTACTCCAAAATATTTTAGAGATAATTATATTTTTATGTCTTTATCTAAGATAGATTTATTTCTATGTCTATGCTTTATCAATAAAGTAAGTTTATATCTTTTTTATTCTATATAACAATCAAATACATCCTGCATGATTGACATAAAATACAAGCATTACCTTTAACACGCTAATAAGGAAACATAAAACAAATCCAGAAACATATCAAGGTAGAGAGGGAAAGATATGCACAGTAATAACAATTTAATTCTTTCCACTGTTAAGGTAAATATTTTTCCTAATAAAACTATATTAAATAAATAAAGAATTGATTTTTTTCTTACAATTGAAAGGCATATTGGAAATAAGCAGAATCCAAGTTGTTTTCTCTCACAAAAATTTAAATCTATTACGCTAGTTATATAAGATATGGATCATGACACACACACATATATATAGGGTCTCTAATGGAGATTTTCCAAAATTTTATATATTTATAAAACCACAATAACAGCACCATGCTGTGAAGAAAACAAGTACACTTGTTTCATCATGGACTATTTTCCATCCACTAGTTCATTCACAATCTTATTGAGCTTCCCAGTTCTTTTTCTCGTCTTAGCAATCACTTTATTTTCCTTTATCCAATCCCACAAGAATGTCAAGCAATACTCACTGCCTCCTGGTCCAAGATCATGGCCTATTGTTGGATGCCTCCCGACAATGCTCCGAAACAAGCCAGTGTACCAATGGATACACAATCTCATGAAAGAAATGAACACTGAAATAGCTTGTATCCGTCTAGGAAACATCCATGTGATTCCTGTCACTTGTCCTAATATTGCTTGTGAATTCTTGAAAGAACAAGATGATGTATTTTCATCTAGACCCAAAACCATATCCTCTTATCTCGCATCAAATGGGTACCTAGCAACAGTTGTATCACCATTTGGAGATCAGTGGAAGAAAATGAAGACAGTCATGGCAAAACAAGTGCTTTCTCCTACAAGACATCAATGGCTTCACAAAAAAAGAGTTGAAGAAGGCGATAACCTCGTTCGTCTTGTTTATAAACAATGTCAGGAATCTGATCAAGATGGCATAGTGAATTTGCGATTCATATCACAACATTATTGTGCAAATGTTATTAGGAAGCTGATGTTTAACAAAAGATATTTTGGAGTGGGAATGGAGAATGGTGGACCTGGTTTTGAAGAAGAGCAGCATGTGGATGCACTCTTCACTATCCTCAGTCATTTATTTTCATTTTGTGTCTCAGATTTTCTGTCATTCTTGACATGGCTTGACCTAAACGGTCATGAGAAGGTGATGAAGGAGAAAGATAGGATCATAAAAAAGTATCATGATCCTATAATTGACAACAGGATTCAACAATGGAAGGATGGCAAGAAGAAAGACATTGAGGACTTGCTTGATGTTTTAATAACCTTAAAGGATGACAATGGCAATCCTTTATTGTCTAAGGATGAGATAAAAGCTCAAGTGGAAGTAAGTTTTACACTTATGTAATACTAAATTACTTATAACTAACTTATATATTTTGTTTTCGGCTACTTTCTAGTTAGCTCTTTTAATATATCAATTTTTTTCAAAAAAAAAAACTTATAGCTAACTTAGTTTCTATTTTATTTTTTTTCTTGTTTGAGCACCATAGTTATTTTTTAATAAAAAAATCCCTTTCATCCAGGTCTATGTTCTTTGTTAATTTGTTTTTAAATCATGTGTTTTTACTTGTTTCTAAACTTTTATATGTAGTCAAAACTAATGAAATGACCTGTTTTTTTTAAAAAATAATTCAAGATAATCAAATAAAAAAACTAATGCTCAAGGATTAAATTTATTTTAAACGAAAATTCAAGATATGTTTGGGTTATTTAACTATTTATCTAATTAATACTATAAAATCATTTTCAGTTTTCATCTAAGCTATCTTGACTACTATATTTTTTTTATCTAAATTAAAATTTAATTAATTTGAGTTGTTGAGATAGTTATTTGATAAATTCAAAATAATTTTTCTTATTAATCTCAAATAATTATATATTACTAGATCTATATTTAATAATGATTTTAAATTATACATATTATTATTCTCAGGACATAATCTTAGCAGCAGTGGACAATCCATCAAATGCTTGTGAATGGGCATTTGCAGAGATGTTAAACAACCCTAAGATACTCGAAACAGCTGTTGAAGAATTGGATAGAGTGGTTGGGAAGCAACGATTGGTCCAAGAATCAGATTTTGCACAACTCAATTACGTCAAGGCCTGCGCTAGAGAAGCCTTTCGGCTGCATCCTGTTGCACCATTTAACGTTCCTCACGTATCCATGGCTGATACAGTAGTTGCCAACCACTTCATCCCAAAAGGTAGTTATGTTATTCTTAGCAGATTAGGGCTCGGTCGAAACCCTAAAGTTTGGGACGAGCCACTAGAATTCAAACCAGAGCGTCATCTCACAGGAACAGGGAATGTTGTGTTGGCTGAGAATGGATTAAGATTCATTTCATTCAGCACAGGAAAGCGTGGGTGCATGGCTGTGACCCTTGGGAGTTCGATGACGAACATGCTATTCGCTAGGCTTCTTCATGGTTTTAGTTGGAGTTTGCCATCAAATGAGTCCAGCATTGACCTTTCCACCGCAAAAGATAGCATGGCTCTCGCTAAACCACTGCTTGCTGTTGCGAAACCACGCTTGCCTGCACATTTGTACCCTAAATAAATGATGAAAACAAGTTCAAGAAAACGTTCAGACAAACGTGCATTCCTATTATCAATTCCCTTCCCATGAAATTGCTTTTATTTATTTATTTATTATTATTAAAATAATGTGTTTGTTCTACACAAGTTTAATGTAATATATAGTTGTGTACCTGTAACTTTCTTTCTTGAATCAAGATCCTAATCCTAACGATCGCAATTTATAATAAAAGAGGACTATATACCCTCTATTGCATAGTCCAAAGTCCATGTCGTAATTAGAATTATGCAATTTAATGGAGGCTAGGTTATTGGAAGCGCGCTTAATTTATGAGGGAAGTTCAATACCAAGATTGGTTAGCAAACGTGCTTTTAATTTTTTTTTTTTTTAAAAGAAATTACTGATTATTTGAATAAAATTTAATTTTTTTTAAATCTTATTTTATTTTGTGCAAGATGTACAATCAATACTATTTATAAATATATTAAATATATTTTTTACTCTTCTAAAATAATAAATTTTTTATTAATTACTTAAATAACTTTATATAATTAATCTTATCCTTAATATTTATCCATTTGCCCATCAAGAAACAAGGCAGATGTGGGAAGACACGTTAACAAATATACTGTCCTTTATTTATTTATAAGGGAAATGAACTGAGCCCTGTTGTAAGAATTATGCAAAAATTGTAGGATCTTGTTTTGCATTTTCTGCTGTGGCAGCTATGGAAGGAATTACAACGATTTCTACGGGAAAATTGAGCTCTCTTGCCGGGAAAGAGCTACTTGATTGTGACACAAGTGACAACTGCGGTTGTTGGGGTGGGCGGGTGGGAAAAGCATTTGAATTCATCATAGAAAACCCAAGGTCTAGCTACTGAAGCCGATTACCTAGTCCACTACCAAGGATTTCTGCTAGGCATTTTCCACACCATGAATGCATCAGTCAGGATTATAGATTATGAAAATGTTCGTGCCTACAGTAAGGAAGCGCTATTGAAGGCAGAGCCCACCAACCAGTATCTGTTTCCATTTCAGCTAAAGCATATCCTTTTCAGTTCTAGTCAGGTGGGGTCTTCACTGGATTTTGATGAACCAAATGAGCACTTGCTGTCACTGTGGTTGGATATGGGACAAGCAATGACGGTACCAAGAATTGGTTGGTCAAGAATTCACGGGGAACTACATGGGGGGAGAATGGATACGTAGAATGGCGAGGGATATTGATATCGAGGGAGGTCTTTGTGGCATTGCCACTCGTGCCTCCTATCCAACTATAGATTAATTAGCAAACTGATGAATCCATCTTCATCCTAATTTCTCCTTCACTAGCAGCTAGTGAACATTCCTCGTGTCAGTTCCAGCTCCTTGGAGTATATACTTGTGTTGCTGTTTGCTGTTTATATGTGATCTGAAAAGAGCCTCTTCTCTTGCTAGCAAAATGAATAAATTTCATTGTTTTTTGAGGCCCTGTTCTATTTATTTCCAGGCACTTTTCTTTAATAAAATAAATATATAAATAAATAAAGTGGCTGAACGCTTTATGCTTTGTTAACTACAAGCACCTTAAAACCAGAAAACTACCAGTTCCTTAAAATCAGAAAACTACAAATACCTTAAATTCGCAGGTATAAAACATTTCCTTTAAATATGAAATCTAGCACATAAGTTTGAGGAATTAAATAGAATATTCATTTGGGCTAGATTTCGTATTTAAATTTTATTACTGTTTTTTTTTTTTTTAATGAAACAACATATTTATGTCTAGTTAATTCAATTTATGAAAGTTTATATGTTAAGTTTTGATCCCAACATCATGATATTGTAAGATCTCTGCAGACACGTGTAGAATGAAAAATATTCTCTACAAATTCATTATTCTACCATTGCGGAACCTCTCAGAGAGATCCTTGATCTTGTCCAGAGCATTCCAGACATCTGGTACAACATTCTTGCCATCACTTTGCTTAACTGCATCCCTTAGAGCACGAAGAGCTACATGAAGCACTGACCTATTCTCAATGCTGTTTATCTGAACAGATCCACACCAGCATCAGACCGCACGTTCATACAACCATATTGTCAAAAATACACAAATACAAATACAAAACTTAGCAAACATCAGTGATATGAGTGTTAATAAGTAAAATCATGAATGTTGGACACCCTCTGCTCTAACAAAAGGGGTAGAAAGATCACAAACCGAGACAAGCCAAAAAAAAAAGGAGAGAAATTAAGGTGAAAGAAAACAGTAACATCGGATAAATTTTAGCAACTATCATAAATTGCTGCATTACTACTTTGCAAACCACTTCAACCAAAACCTAAGAATTTCCCTTCTTTCATCCGTTCCACCAATAGAGACATAAGGAATGATCTTTTCATTACTCACTAAAAAAACTCCTTACACATGTCAATGCTCATTTCATGCACTTAAATTCATCCGTTCCACCAATAGAGACATAAGGAATGATCTTTTCATTACTCACTAAAAAAACTCCTTACACATGTCAATGCTCATTTCATGCACTTAAATTCATCCGTTCCACCAATAGAGACATAAGGAATGATCTTTTCATTACTCACTAAAAAAACTCCTTACACATGTCAATGCTCATTTCATGCACTTAAATAATCCAAGTACAAAAGGTCACCATAAAAAAGAGATACCCACCACAAGTGAATTAGTCCCTTACTTGAACCATTTTGAGGAGAAATTAGAAAACTCTATGATACCAGGATTTTATCTGAGAAGAAAGAAGGTAAAGAGAGAGAAGAGGAAGAGAAAAAGGAGCAGTGAAGCAGCCCTGAGCGAGTAGTGGAGTTGGTGGCCACATTCATTGAAAAAATGCTTCTCGTTCTTGAACCAGTGAAAAGGGAGAATGAACCTGATGGGTTGCCATAGCTTCTTGTTCTACATGAGACAATCCAATCCATGGTGATGGTGGTGGTGGTGTTGGTGGTGATATCATTGATATTGAAGTTGCCATGTCTTAGACCCCTCTCTCTCGCTCTCTTTCAGCTTTATTATCCTCTCTTCCCTGCTGGCCTTGATCTTTTTCTTCACTCGGCAATCAAACAAAAGTTTTAAGGCCTGGTTCGGAGCCCAACGCCTTTTCGGTCGTTTAAAAATACCATGTAAACAAAATAGTCCATTCCTTTGAAACTCTTTTCTAGTTCAAACAAAGCCCACAACTGTAGGCCATTAATAGTCCACCAAATATTAGCGGTTCCTCCTCCTCTCTTTTTTTTATTTTCCTTAATTCCATTTCAATGCTTTTAAATATATTAAAATAATATTTTATTATTATTTAAAAATAATTTTAAATAAAAAATATAATTTTATTCGAATTGTATTTAGATTACAATCTCAATCAAGGACTTCAACGTCGTCTTCCCCTTAAATTTTTTTTGACTTATTTATAACTAAAAAAACAAGAAATTTGATGTGGTGATAAGCCATCATTTAAAAATGCAAGTCGTTGACCTACTACGAGGCATTGGTCTATGGTAGGTTCAAGGACGAGACAGTAAGAGTTGGAGTTTTTGAAATATAAAGAGAAGTTAGTTAGGGTTAATTCATGTTCAAATCCTCACTATAAATTAGTCTTTTTTTTTCTGGGAGAATGGCGTATATCATTGACTACATGCCCGCTACTGGAAACTTGATTCATGCACTTCAAAAATTTCATGCGCGTACCTTATATGAGAATCAAAAATAGTAAATTAAATTATTATTTTTAATCATTTTGATTTGTTGATATCAAAAATAAAAAAATATTTAATTTATTTATAAATAAAAATTACTTTTAAAAAATATTCTACATTACATTATCAAAAGACTCGTAGGCTAGAACAAAAAGAGTTTTCCCCGTTAACCAGTAACCATGCCGTGTACAAAAGGCTCACAAATTCTGTAAAAATAGTTTCTTAAAAGAAAAGGAACAAATCTTGATGAGATAACAACGTTGAAGTCTTTAACCACTCAATCACTTGTTATGATTGTTGTGTTTGTGTGTACAAGAAGAAGTCATTTTTAATACTTAAAGAGTTAAAACTACTCAATTCTAGATGTAAAAAATTCAATTTTCCAACAACCCCAAAATAATTGTTGATTTTTGTTTAGGTTTGTTGGCCCGTACCAGTTGAGTCGAATCATAGCTCAAAATAAATACTTGAGAAAGATCCTGCTATTTGAAAATAAATTAAAGACATGGGTGACCCAAGCTTCTCTAAGATGAAGAAATTCTTTGGTCGATAAGTCGAACAAATAAAGCCAAAATAATCATATTCAAACACGAGGCTGGTATCATGATGAGAGAAAGGAGAAGCAAATAACCCTCAAAACATGAACGTCGAAAGAGGCAGGAAGAATGTGATGTCTTGCTTATGCAGTTACCAACTTGTAAATGGAGCCAAGAAACTGACGCCTTTCTAGCTGGAGCCCATATCGATATGCCTTCCAACAGATTAGGTTTAAGGTGAATAATATCTTAGATATTTGAAAATATTTAAAAAATATTTCTTTTTATTTTTTATATGTTCTTAACAGATAAAACCTTGGACAATCTTTATAGACCATTTATTATTAAATGGAGAAAATCTTCAGTTCATAAAAATAAATCATGGTATCACTGTTGGCCCACGGCTAACAAGTATATGGTGAGTGGTGCCTAAGATGAGTGGGTGCGTAGCAGTCCTGCTGGAGTGCAAATTCTGTTTTCCATTAACGAAACCAACCTATTTTTTTTTTTAGTAGATAAGGTTTTTTTTTTTTTATCGTTAAAAAAAAAAGGTAAGGTTTTGATATGTTGGGAAAGTGGGCTTTTGAACTATCTTTAAGATGTGGCTGAGAGGCTAACATTTTAAAGTATACTCTGTTTATTGGGCACAGTCTTTGTTCAATGATTCACGGGGAGAAAACAAGGGGGGGGTTTGGTTTATTTTATAAATAAAAATTATACAGTGAAGTTGTTCATAACACTGGCTTATCCATCTAAAGCATTAAGCTTTACAATT